GCGAGAAAATCAAAATGGCGGCATCTCATTAATAAATTATTTTAAGGATATTTCAATTTGTTTTCATTATCTGACCGATTAGTATGTTTATACTAAAACAATTAAACCTCTCGGCCTCGTAGACTACGAGCGAATAGCCCATTCGGCCTCGCGGACTCGGCCTCATGGGCTATTATATTAGCTCGTAGTCCACTCGACCTCGAGGTCTAATTGTTAAATAGACCTAATCATAGTTAATATTAACTATGACCTAATAATAGAATTATTTGTATACATTTTCATAATGATTTAATTTTTATTTAGAGGTCTTGATGATAGAATGATGATAGTTTCAGATTCTGTATGTTATTCTTGGCTGAAAAAATAAATGGAAATATAAATAAAGTCAATCCCTTTAGACTCATGAATTGTCCTTAACAGGTGCCCCTCTATGCTAACTCTACGATTATAGTAGTCTATTTGGTAGAATAGAGAAACAAACAAATTCATAAAAACAGCTTTTAGGTAATTTTTTACGAGCTATAAAAGGTACGAGGACTATCACTCCCAYATACTTTGTTGTACGAAATGGCGTACCTGCACATTGCTTTTTGCCATTGAGAAGTTAGCAAAAATTATTGGTAAAAGAGGTTGGCCTGCAAACGAGCCGATGCACTTACCGTCAAAGTAGGTGGTGTCGTATGCATCATCTGGGTTGGGAACGAATGGAGCAGGGTGTTGATCAAGATTATCCCAGTCAAGACAATTGAAGAATGAATGTTCCTKTATGTCTACAGGCAAAACACACAASAATATCGTCGTAATGGTAGCGAGATACAAGAATAAATACATTAATAAATCAGAAGTACATAACCAGAAGTTTTCGCAGACCATATTGCTCTTGAACTTCCTTCGCTACAWTGCTCATATAGCAAAGTATGTTTTCTATCGAATTCAAAAATGGTTGTTCAGCAAAAGGTGTGTTATTCTCGTAAATGCAAACTTCACTTCGTTCGCCTCCATCGACTACATAATTTTCCTTTCTTGTCCGCTCTTGAAGTAGTCTCCTTCGCAGCCTCACCTTTTTCTCGGGCTTCCTGTCCCTTTTGGGAGGGACAGGAAGCCCGACAAAAGGGGAGGCTGCGAAGGAGACTACTCTTGAAGTAGATCAACAAGGACCAATCAGGTGCCGTGTAATATGTGCGCGCACTGTGATTGGTTGTCTAAAAATAGATTATCGGGACATCTGATGGTGGCGATATTATTGGGGAGATGGACACTTCTGGTTATGTACTTCTGAAACTTGCGTAATAAATATACTTGCTGCAAGTTTAGGAAAATTGGAGCATGATTTCCTTTAGACGAAGTATGATTTAGACTACAGCAGCTGTGTTATGCAACAAAAGCAACAAAGAAAAACATTTTTCCGACAATTTGATCCATGATTTACTTTGAGAAACTGAATTTGCTCGACTTGTAACAGTTGTTTGTCGAGTTTTAGGTTGGATTAGCCGGCGTGTGGCCATCTACAGCATTACCCTGTTAACGTATAGTGATTTTAACTGGAGTGAAAGAATCAAATCAARAACGCGCATCCGTTCGGCCGCCCGTCGAGTTTGCATTACCTTGAGCTCCTGGTCTCATCTCATATGGTACTGTTAATATCTTATCAATACAGTCTACTGCACTTGGAGTGAGTGCTTCTTCGCCTTCGGGCCAAATAAGTTCTGTAGAAAAATAGGAGTAAGATATGGACGACACTGATGCCCCTTAAGAAGATAGGCGCGCAGTCAACAATCAAATTACAAAGGCGATCCACTAAGGTAGACCATGTTTCATGTAGAAACGGCAAAACGTCTTCTAATTTTGTAAAGAAAAAGCAAAAAGGGCTTAGGAGGACTGTTTTATTGGATATTCAAAACTTGCGAGGGTTATACAGACATCACACCTTGTTGCACAAAATAGAATCAGTTTCACATTGCCTATTTAGATGTTTTATCGGTTCATCGAGTATAGAGTAAGAATGAGAAACCCTTCCGTGCAGTGGGTGTACCAGAACTTGTTCTTACGAGTGATGTTTTATTCATCAGTTCTGAATGATATTTAGAMAATATTGATATCTTGTAATGGATGAAACACAAGGCAGATTAGACGCATTTCGTAATAATTTGATAGAAACATACCTCTATTCTTGATATGATTGAAAACCAGCTCTGGTGTTTCATCGTTGAATGGTGGAACACCTGTGAGGAATTCATAGAGACAAACGCCGACAGCCCACCAGTCTACAGCAGGAGCTTATAAAACAAAACAACATGCATCAACTACTCTATC